CAGCCTCAACCATGCCTCAATGATTCAGGGTATCCGTCACTCTGGCGCGAAGAAGATGGTCTTCAAGCACAACGATATGGAAGACCTTGAAGCTAAATTGGCCTCATTGCCACTTGGTACCCCCAAGATAATTGCCTTTGAGTCCGTCTACAGTATGTGCGGATCAATTGCGCCAATTGAAAAGATCTGTGACCTCTCCGACAAATACGGTGCCATCACTTTCTTGGATGAGGTCCATGCCGTAGGAATGTACGGCCCACACGGAGCTGGCGTTGCTGAGCACCTCGATTACGATGTGTACGCATCGCAGGATACAGCTTCCCCTCAAAGCACCAAGGGCACAGTCCAGGACCGAATTGACATTATCACCGGTACCTTGGGCAAGGCCTACGGGTGTGTCGGTGGATATATTGCAGGATCGGCAGCCATGGTGGACACCATCCGCTCCCTTGCTCCCGGTTTCATCTTCACGACTTCGCTCCCACCAGCAACAATGGCTGGTGCGGATACCGCCATCCAGTACCAGTCCCAGCAACCCCGGGACCGGGTCCTCCAACAACTCCACACCCGTGCAGTCAAGACCGCCCTCAGTGATCTGGATATCCCCGTCATCCCCAACCCGTCACACATCGTCCCTCTCCTGGTCGGTGATGCCGAGCTGGCCAAACAGGCTTCCGACAAACTTCTCGAGGAGCACGGCATCTACGTGCAGGCCATCAACTACCCCACCGTTCCCCGCGGCGAGGAGCGTCTGCGCATCACCCCCACCCCAGGCCACGTGAAGCCGCTGCGCGAGCACCTCGTGCAGGCCGTGCAAGCCGTTTGGAACGACCTAGGACTCAAGCGCACCAGCGACTGGAAGAGCCAGGGCGGTTTCGTTGGCGTTGGCGTTGAAGGCGCCGAGGCCGCCAACCTGCCCATCTGGGAGGACGCCCAGCTGGGTTTGCAGGCTGGCGAGACCCTCGAGGGCGCTGTTGCTCGTGAGTTCAACGACGCAGCTGCCCAGGCAGTCGTCCCGCCCCTGAAGACTGCTACCCCTCTGACCGAGAAGGCTTACTCGGGAATGAACTCCACCCCCGTCGGTGTGGTTGCGTAGAGCAGACGAGTCCCGTCTTTTACGCCTTTCGGTTCTTTGGGGTAATTCTAGTTGCATTATTCCCGTCCATTCATTTTCTATAATATTGTGTGCGGACATAGCATATGCATCCGTCAATCATACTACCCCACATATTCATGTCATATCTCCTGTCCGCTTTTGTTTAAATGATGTAGTCATCTTCCGGCTTGGATTCGCCGTGAATTGTGCTTTTGTTGATGTATGCCATTGATTTGGTTGGCAAGACAAAGACTGACGTCGGATATACTGATTGTATCTATATCGATCGAGTGGCATTTACTGGGCTCAAGTGGATGGTTGGAATGAACAGTGTTGAAGTGGCATTTTGCTCTCCTTGCATTTCATATAGGCTTCGTTTTTTGTAGTATGTAACTTAGTAGGTACACTGATATATACCTCTGCATCTGAAATGCCTCCACTCTATTTGCAAGCAGCCATTTCAAATGGTATACCAATTGAAATCGATAAGGAGGTAGATAAAAACCGGGCAAGAAAAAGGGTAATTTACCTGCCTGCTATATGGTATAAGCTAATAGTGGCTTTTATAAATCCTAGGTACCATCAGATAGAGAGGCTTAAGTTTACACGAAACTAAAATCAAATAAAGAAACGACAAGGTAAATTCCTTTGGCTATGTAACAATGTCTCATCGATATAGAAACAGTTGAAAGTGACAATTTTGAAACACACAAAGCGCCATATATTCCAAAGAAGTCCGACGACTCGAGACCACCAAACCACAAATCAACCCTACTTCCGACCACCACGGCTAACCTTAGGGAACTCAACAGGCACGCGCAAGCGAGCAACACGACGCGCATGCGCCTCGGCACGCCCCCCCTTAATATTCCACTTAGCGAACTCTGTCTCACGCGGCTTATCAATCCGACAACCAAGCTCGCGGAAGTACTGGTGAATAGTATTCGGATCGAGACGCAGATCATCCCGGAGATCAGAGGGATCTGTCGCAAGCTCGTTGGGCGCATTACCACCCAGCGAGCTGGAGCCACCGTCGCGTGCCGGCTGCGGCGGGATATGCAGCGAGAGCGCACAGATAGTAGTGTGCAGGAGGGTGAAGTCGTTCTTGGAGACGTAGCCGCCGCTAGGCGCGAAGCGGCGACGCACGGCATCGATCACAGACTCCGGGAGCAGGTCTGCGGAAGCGGAGTCGGCCGCGGTGCCGGGCTTGGGCTTCGTGACGGAGCCGGTGGTGTTTGAGAGGATGCGGCGGAGGTCTTCGCGGGGTGGGAGACGCTTGCTGCCTGGGCCGCCACCCTTGGCGCTCGCGCCGGCGTTTTTCAGTGAGCGGCCGAACTCAATTAGCAGCTGGATGAAGCGGAGGACTTGGAGGTGGGTTGTGTTGTCGGAGTTGACGACTGCACCGACGCGGTTCGAGACGTAGCGGGAGACGGTTGTCACGCCGAGACCGGCTTCCACTTGCGACTTCCACTCGTCTACGCCGTTGAGTTGGCTGAGGGTTGAGTGGCTGCCTGGAACAAGGGTCTCGATTGTGTAGACGTCGGAGGGGTGCGAGCCGGCGAGGTTCGGGGTTGGGAGGGGCTTGGCCGCTTGCACTTCGGCTTGCATGGCGAGAGCCTTGGCGTGGCCGGATGCTGTGTCTGCGGGCAGCGAGGAGATTAGGGCTGCGCCGGCCTGGGGGACGGCGCCGGTGGGGGCGTTGGAGAGCTGGGCGTTCTCGGCCATGGATTGTACGGCCTTGCGGGATTGTTTGGTTCCGAAGGTGTTGGTTAGGGCTGTGCGTTGGGCGCGCATGGTGTTCTGGTGCTGCCCGTTAGTTGGGTGCTGCTGATACATGGACTCGCGGGGGGAGGACATACCATCTCTTCGTCTGAGTCTTCCTCGGACCTGCGGCTTCTCACTGCTCCTCGCAGTGTCGCTCGCCGCACCTCCACAACCTTCCATGTCTTGCGCTCTGGGTCGATAACTGCGACGTAGTGCTTCACTTGCGAGTCTGTATCGTCTCCTGTGCCTTCACGGCCGACAAAGTCCATCTTGGCATGGTCCGAGGACTGGAGCAGCATCTCTGAAGAGACAATGCCCGGGTTCCGAGTCGATGCCGCAGAATTGGAGACATTAGCGCGGTTTTTGATATATGGGTTCCAGCGGAGGGATTTCGAGCTCTGGAGGCCGGGTGTGTCGGCTATAACACGAAAATTCAATTAGAGATGGTTCACAGTCTGGACAAAACGCCTTCAACTCACCAATTACCGGTGCCAACTCGCTCTTATCTTCAACAACGCTGGCGGCCAGCGGGGGCAGCTGGTGCAGCGCGGGCTTTTTACTTGGACGTTCATTGTTCGACGAGCGCTTGCGCTTGTGATCTGTTTTATCGGACGGCATTATGGAGTCAAAAACGAGAGACAAAAGATCGTAGCTCTCGAGAATCGGCTTTAGCGCGGTGAAATAAAATGTCTGGACTTGTCTGGCAGAAAATTTTACGAGCGGAGACCAGGCAGGCGGTGAGTCCACTTGCCGCACAAAGGAATATTGACGTATATGAAGCGTCAAGTTGATCTCGATGGCGATATGCAGAACTACGAAGATCTGAAGACAACTACTCGGTCGTGGATGGGCTCTAGATTACAGGTTTACATTTACGTCGAGTAAAAAATGTTGCACTCATCAAGTCATCGATTCATCTGCAGTAGCTAAACGAAGACCTCCGAGTTATTCCATGGATTTTTTTGATAAACTCCCGGAAGAAACCTCTCCACAACTTTTGACCAGCCCGAAGGAAGGCCGTAAAGATAATGAGAATTGACCAGTCACCCCAGTGCCGTGCTCAAAGACCAATGGTTTGCACCGGTCCTCCAACATCCACCTAAACACAGGAGCCCCTCCGAGTAATAACAATGCATGATATCAGATCGTAGACGTGAATGAATCCGAGGTGTTGGAACGTGGGTAGACTGTTGTAACAGCGGATTCCGTCAATTCGATCTGCGATTTCTTCTGAAGATAGGTCGGAAATCTTATCCGTGCAAGTAACTGGTTGAATGAGGGGCATGTCACGAAGAAACGAAAGTCGCCAAGTCGCGTCGTCAATTGTCGTGTTCAGCGTTTAACCATGAGCTCCGGCAGGAGAGCTGAGATGGAGGGGGCGAGTAGTTTATTTGCTGAATTGGAAGTTAGTATCTCGTTCCCCGATTAGAAGCTCGATGTGGTCTTTGCGCAAGACCATCGGCGCGCAACGGAGTGACTTACGATCTGGCACGCATCTTTCTGCGCTTGCGCTTGAGACGGCGAGTGCGCTTCTTTCTCCACTTGTCTCTCATCTTCAATCTGTTGACTGGTTAGTGCATTGCCCTGAAGAAGATCTTGAGCTTTGGGAAAGATACTCACGATTTCGATGATGAAACAGAGATAGTAGAAAGAAAGATGAAGTGAAGGCGGCCCGAGACGACTTTACGTACAGTGCGGCTGACTCAGCCGCTCTCGCTTAGGCCCCACACGTGACACTTCAAACTTCCATCTGTGACGGAACATGACTATGCCAAATTAGGAAATTTGATAGGGTTTCACTCCATCGAGGTGTTTAGGCAAACTATTTGAAAATAATTTATGTAACATACAAAGTACGAGTGGGGATTGTAGGGTAATGACGTTAATTCAATTCAACATCACGAGAAGAGCAATGCCATCACTATGTATTATTGACTAGTTATTCCGTATATAAATTAGAACTAGTGTGACTTCTGATGCCAATGTTTTCTCTTGGCTACAGCTATAGCCAGCCGTGTATTAAACATATATACCAAAAGCTTCATCACTTATGGAGATTCGCAAAATCCGGAGGACGAGATCCACAAAAGTAAAATAGAGGTGCGTCATACGAAAATATCTATCCAAGATGGATATTTTCTCAGTACGTGTACCGATACGTGGGCGCCAAATCGCCGAGATATTCCTCCTCGTCCTCTGGAATCGTAGCAGGGTCAACAGGGGCGCGGTCACGTTTCTTGTTCTCAAACCAAAGGGCCGCCATGTAGAGCGCGCATGACAGAGCGGCGAGGCAAATGAACGAGAGGCAGATGATATACCCAGTTCGGAAATCTGTGACGCCATTCTTTACAACGAAAGAATAAGTAGCGATGATTCCACCGATATTGCCGAAGCCAATCTGCCATGCGGTTCCCACGCTGCGTCGATGATGGCCACCCAAATTCATGGAGAACCAGCATACAATGACAGGCATGGCGCTGTAACAGCCACTGGTGAGCAGGAAAAGAGCGCCAAATTGCGCACTAGTACTGTTATGGATTGTCATGAGCATGATGAATCCGGCAACAGCGATCGCCATTGGAATCAAGGTGAAAACGAATCGGTGTCGCAGTCGGTCAGAGCAGAAGGCGACTACCATCGAGAAGCCGAATGCTGCAGCCCAGGGAGGAATAGAGTACAGCTGGGTTTTGATCGCACTATAGCCGTAGGTCTGGATAATCGATGGCGCGAAGTATGCATACCCTATATGAGAGTAAGCGATAAGTCGGAAGGGTCATGGAAGAAGAAAGTGATTAACGTACCGTAAGCAGGGACAATCAAGCCGAAGTACATAAAGCCTCCGATGAAGACCTTGTCTGGGGAACGTCAGCGCGCCGCAATTGAATGCAAAAGAGTGATTATCCGGGCTATACTTACAGTCCTTGAACACACCCAGAACCTCGCGCTTGCCCAAGTGAACGTTGTGAGCAGCCTTGCCAACATCCTTGGCCAACTTGGCACGCATGTATGTGCGCTCTTCCTCGTTCAGCCACTTAACATCCTCGGGGAAATCAGCAATGAAAAAGAACAGAATGATCGCGACCACGCTGGTCAAAACGCCCTCGATAATGAACACCCAGCGCCAGCCACTGTAGCCGCACATGCCATCCATCTTTGCAATTCCGCTGGCAAGCAGACCACCGAAGGCGCCGGCTAGGGAAGTGGAGCTAAAGAAGAAACTGAAACGCTTTTGAGCCTCAGAGCGTGTGTACCACATGCCCAACAGATAGAAACCTGGGGATCACAATTAGGACCTGTCTTGGTCGTTTTTGGTGGTGTATTTGCACTTACATCCAGGGAACATGCCTGTCTCAAAGACACCCAAAAAGAAGCGAGTGGCCATTAGTCCACCCCAGTTCTGTACCAGACCCTGGAAGAGCAAGACCAAGCCAAACATGAACATGCATCCCGACACTGAATTGAATTAACAAGCTGCCCTCATCAAAATTGCGCTTAACCGTACGGGGCGTAAATGGAGCAAAACACTTACGCCAGACATGGGGCTTCAACTTTTTTAGCAAGATGTTTGACGGAATCTCCAAGACAATATACGGAACGAAGAAGATCGTGAGCGCCGTGTTGTATTTCGTTCCATCGACGATGTTCAAATCCTCCTTAAGTCCGAGAATAGCGGCATTGCTAATATTAACTCTGCAGGTTGATGATGTCAGATACTGGCAATGCCTGGTCACACGACGCAATGGTAAGCTTACCGATCCAAAAAGGCAAGCAAATACAAAATACACAGACAGGGTAGGATGTGCCAATCGACCTTGGCTTGCAACTTGCGCTTAGTGGTAGTCGTGAGAGGAGGCAGATCGAAGTCCGTGCTGGAACTGGCCTGGCTTTCGCGCTTGTCGACAGGCTCTTGGGTATAGGATGGTGGTTCTGCGCGGGGGAGTACCTAACGGTCAGCATGAGTTGAGAATGATGCGCTGGCGCACGCGGACTTGCTAAATCCTAAAAAGGACGAAACAAAGAACTCCGGGTTACATGTATGGGATCGACATACCTGAGACCCCCATGATGAGATGCGAATTGCGCTCGGATACTGCGCGCCTGCTCGGAATAACAATAATAATGGGGAAAGAAAAAAGAAGGGGAAAGTTTGGCTTTTTGGTGTCGAATTCTCTCAAGCGCAGCTCGCCGATGCAACCGAGGTGGTCCGCTTGCCGGGCCTCAAACGTGGGGTAACTTCCGGAGTTACGGAGAGGAAAAGCGAGGCTGAAAGTGTAAATGGACAATCTTGGCGACTTAAAAGATTCGAATTAACAAGGGTGAATCATCCCTTGAGATATCCCCGATCGATCGAGTCCCGATCTCGGCCTCTAGAGCGCCGATATGCATGCCGGGTTTTAGTTTTTCAATTTTTCACTTTGCAACATATTTGCTTATTTATGATCGGCAGGACCTCCCGAAGTCGCGAATATCCATGGAGGTGTAGCTTTCCTCTTCTAAATCTTATTTTGCCCTGACTACGGGGTAGTACTCTGTGCTGAGAATTGCCTCAATTATCCCTGTTCCCCCGCAAAATAGCTTATGAGTCACGTGTCCAGTAAATAGGGGGGTTTCCGGCCCGATCCACTTGGCCTGGGCAGTGCGGGGGTGCATTTGTATTTTATTAACGTAGTATTCATTAGCGTTAAACGAAATCTACGGAGTATTTTATGCTAAGGTAGAAAATGGGAAATTTTATGACTAACCGGCCGACATTTTTTACAACAGACCCTCCTAACGGAGGGACCGCCACCAATATGCAACCTACCACCTGGGCACCCATATGCAATTGTACCTTTTATTAGGCGGACCACACAAAAGGGACATACGTAAATGTTAGTTTTTAGGACTAGAAAAGTCTTTAAAACTTATTATAACCTAGAGTATATAATAATCTGCTCTATTTAAATACCATGTTCGAGTTTCAGCCTAGGTCTACGGAGCCCTCTTATATTGTTGCGTAGAGCCTAACATACGATATGCAACCATAAAGGCGTCCCAGAAACTTGCCCTTAAAATTTTATAGAAGCATGAGGATGATATTAAATAACGTTGGTAGCAAGATCTGAGAGCTCTTCTCTCTTCACACAATCAATTTTCCTCTTCTCTGGATTTTCATCTGTTATACTCAACATCTTTCTATATAAGCAGGGCATTCTCCGTCTTCCTGAACCGAACAAAAGCCAAAGAAATGTTGAGCAGTCTCTCTAACCACATAGAGAACACTGTCTCCGAGTATACAACGTGGCTCAGATATCCCGCACTATCCGTCTCAGTGTTGCAGTATCACTCCAGTTCTGACTGGGAGCTGCCGTCGAATGCGCTATATGTTGCCCGCCATACCAGACAATACTGTCTAGCCACGCTTTGATGTAGGTCTCTCTGCTTCCTATATCGACGCACAAGCTGACTTCTACGCAGAATCGCTATGCTCTGCCTTCAGTGCATATGTCGTCTACACTTATACTGCATAACACCTACAAGGCCCCGGAGAGACATTGGCAAAGCGTCTCTCCCTCCCATGTCCGTATTCCTCTTAGACTAATGCCACGTAGCATTTCTCTCCGATCATCATGAGTTGCATTCCCTAGAGGTTATGAGCCTCTCTCTAGCTGGACCACTAGTAACCTCTTTCCACTTTGGCCACTTGCCATTGTGAGACAGTGTAACCAAAGGATCGCTACCAAGATCCAGAAGGTGAAGATACTGGAAGGCAACTCCGAGAATCCATGGGAATCGACTTTGCTAGTTATTGTCTAGTCCGTTACTATCTTGGCACACTAACTTCCTACAGTAGTATGTTTCCCCTCCGCAAATTTCTACCCAACCGAAAAAAAAATGAGGTAGTACCCTGTTATATTACCAATGCGAAGTGCGAACTATTGAATTTCAACAGGGATATCCTTGTCTAGCGCTGGAGGATCGACCCGAAGTGGGCCGCTGTCAAACAAAGAATTCGACCGTAACGTGGATTTGTAGATTTTTAAAAGGGAATTGGAGGCAGCCTCGAGGCTTTGATCCTGAAATTGTGTCAAAACTCCATGAGACCTAGGGATTTTGGTCATATACCCAATCCTTGGCCTGATGCAGCTTTTTGTTTGCTATTCGAGTTCCTTCTTTCTCTCTTATCTCTTTCACCTTTGCTGTACTCGATTCCTGTCACTTCAAACATGCACTTTTAATCTTCCGCTATATGTTAGTTTTTACATGAGACAGTAATTCATTCCCGTCTTCGTCGAATCAGCCTTCAACTCACCGTTTCTTTGCGGTTTCCTTTTCACTACTACCACCATGAGCCTTAGAAGAATCCGGGTGCATGCACCCAGATGCCTATTTACTCGTCGTGGATCTTGTATAATATTTATTATCTTCATATGGTTGCTCTTTTATCATCTTCCAGCTCCTCCTTCCACCCAGAACAATACCCGCGCAGACCGACCACCCCCAGAGCATCGAGTAGAGGACACCCCACGATTTATCTACCGCTCCCCCTTTCGAAATAATCCGGATGTTCAATATGAAAAACAGTTATCAAATGCCCTGGAGAAGATTGAAAAGGCCGTATTGGCCCAAAGTCAGGAAAACAACATATCCGAGGACAGAATCTGGCAGATAGCGAAAAATGAAAAGCACAGGGGCGACGACTCAATAATGTTCGAAGGGAAAAATAAAGAGTGGGAATACACTGTAAGTGCATTCGCCAGATACTACACATAACTTACTTGACTCCAACTGAAAACCACAAAGTTAGTCACCGATAAAAAAGCCATCGAGTTCATGGCCAACGAGCTATCCGCCATCCCTGAAATCGCGATTATATACAAATCCTACCCTCACAATGTCCTCCGGGCAGACCTTCTCAGATACCTCCTTCTCTGGTATCATGGAGGCTTCTACGCAGACATCGATGTCTTCCCCGCTCGGACGATCAAGACCTGCCCAGCGCTAGAGCCGTTCTTTTCACCCACACCCGACAAAAACACACAAGATACCTATCCCGATGTATCGCTCGTTGTTGGAATTGAGGTCGACGAGCCATATGCTTCACCACAATTCATGCGCGACTGGCACTGGACAAGGAGCTACGGACTGATCCAGTATACAATGTATGCACCGCGACGTTTCAGCCCGCTTCTCCGCGAAACCATTGTGCGGGTTCTAGCACATACCAGGCAATACAATAGTGAACATGTCGGTTTCTTCCCTAGTCTGGCCTATGACGAGAAGACTATACTAGGAGTCACTGGGCCTGATATCTTCACGGATGCTATTCTCGAGACACTCTCCTCTTCACTTCCTTTGACACATCCGTTTATTCAACAATCCGTTGACGCAGATGCGGATATAGGGGATCTCATCTCTCCTGTGACTGGGGAGGTGCAGAAACGGGTAACGTGGGCTCCATTCCATAGGCTCCGTGACCCTGTCTGCATCCAGGCTGGTGAGGCTGTCCCGAATAAATCCATGGGTGGATTGTGCGTGTTGCCAATCAGTATTTGGGGGAATGGGCAGAGACATAGTCAGGCTGGAGGGTTTAATCATCCTAAGGCGTGTGTCAATCATCGGTTTGGGCGGACGTGGAAGAAGGGGTGGTGGGAGTATATATTTGGATGAACACCTCATTATTTGATCTGGGTTTGGTGGTCGAATATAAATATTTGACATAAATTGGATGAGATAAATCCTTTCTCTTGCAATGAAATTCCTTTTTATATTTGTTTGAATGTACTACGGGAGGATAGTAGATGAGTTCATGAAGCATATTGAGTATGAATGTATTGGAAAGCAAAAACCACTGAAAAGAAACGAAAGGAAAGGACAGTAGAAGTACTTTACTACCACTGGAGGATTCAAATGGCATTAAGCTCAGCAACACTGAAGACACTAAATTTGCCAAATTCATGGTTTGACCCCTCCCAAGCAATTATTTGTAGCACTGGCAGCCTTCCTTCTGGGGGTTCTGGCAACGGGCCTGGTTGACAGAACAACCCCCGCAGAATGCACATGTATCTGGAGCATAGCAGTTCCCCTCTCCTACAACACAGCTTCCATGGTGGCCCACACACTTGGTGCACGCGTTGGTTGCTCGGCCCTCAAGATCCCTCGCCTAAAACGAACATGTTAAAAGGATTATCATTCCTCACAATGGCGGGGTAATCGGCAATGTACCTGGACCATGCTTTGCTGTATGGAGTCAGTTATTGTGTATAGGAGGTTCAACGGATCAATAACTTACTGGCTCTCCGTAGATGATATCCCCATCAGATTGGTAGACTTCCAGCTCGACGCCATTCGCGGCGAAAATGCCACTCTGTGTGGCCGATGCATTGGCAATAAGGAGGGCGAGGATTGTAGTGCCTTGGAGGAATAGTCTCATTTTGGAAAGAATTTGATGGCCTTGAACTGAAGATGAAAGGATATATTGGTTTGAGATATGGAGTTGGGATTAGAGTTGTACGGCTGAGATTGATGGCCACAACGGGGCTTCTTATACCTGAAGTTAGTGATTCAAAATATGTTTGCTATCCTCTGTTGGCAAGGTGAATATGCAATCCTTCGACGTATTAAGTTTATGCCTGCCTTGGCAATACTGGGGCTAGAATTGGCATTGGTAAACACGCGTAGAGTAAAGAGCCTCGGATTCTGAAGTGGACGGACGGGGATCTTGGGATCATCAATTAGCAAACCCAACTCAGTACTGGGTAGGTCTTTTGCTTTTTCTGAACAGCACAGGCTGTGTTTCATTGGCCATCTTTACATGGCGCTCTAACTCTTCACCGTTGCGCCTGACTAAAGGATTTGCTTTATTTTGAGTCTCTGAGGTCCGTCCAAATTGAAATTGGGCTGGACCTTGTGGTGCAAGTTCCCTTCAGACCCCTTTGGATGACTGATGCCTGACTCCTAGTCGGATATTTGGAACTCTCGAGAATACAAACTCATACGGAGCGGATAGTTCAAGGATTAAATACTCCATACACGAAAGTTATTTAAAAGACTCGAAAGAAGAGCCTGCTTTCTGTTTTATCGGGTATCGAGAAAGCTATCTACAGCTGTTCCGATGATACTGGTGTCAAGTAGCAAGGAAAAGCCATATCCGTCTTATCCGAGTGAACTGCAAAAAAAGCAATGAACCCAAGCTGTAGGGCTGAGGACATAACTCAAGTGTCTGAGTGCATCCAATAGTAGCGCTAGGAGACTGACACGAAAGCAGGCCCAGACTGGCCATGTGGATGCAATAACAGGCACAACGTATTCCTGCATATGCGGAGTTTTGAGGGAATTTTGCAGAGAACTGCGCTGTTTATCCTCATGAAATTGATGGAGAGCCCTAAGGAGAGAGTACCCCGTTGTTGCAGAGCCTTACCAAACCAGTTCTATCTACATCCGAACTAGTAAGTACCTTGGATGCAACTTCCATTGTAATCGAATTATGATATTAGCCAATCTTTGATCACTGACACGCTAGTCAGGAGAGAGATGCAGAGTAGTAAGTATTATGCAAGTGAATTGATTAGAGAGAGAGCTCAAATAATGTAATAACAAGTAAAGAGCAAGAATATGTTACTCCATTGCTATTACCTCCGTTTGAATATCCTGTTTATTACTTTTATGACCGATCCTCGGAAACAACAGTAGTTCGCGGGGGTGCAAATGGAAAGATCCGTTTATACAGAGTCTCAAAGTCTTCTATTAAATGAAACCACATGTCTTCTGTAATATAAACCCAAAAGCATTACATTTTTTCAAAGCATAGAAGTCAGGAATTGTCAGATCCTACCGTAGTTTTAATAATCCCGTCCAAACCAGAACCCGCCGCCTTCAAAATCACCTCTATATTACGGATCATCCGTTCCGCAGCTGCAATAGATTCGGTACGATACTGCCAACGACGCATATTCGCTGCCTGGGCTGCTACATAGATCGTCCCGTTGGCTTTGAATGCCTGGGACTGTCGGGATTGGTAAGACAAGTGAAATAATGATTGGAAGGATTCTTCTTACGGAGCCGCTTGGTGCTGAGGAAGGCGGTATTAGTGACAGGAAAAGTCAACGGTGATTGATGTGAGATCAGCTTACGATCAGGGGCTGCTGGGGTCTGTATGCATTCGATGACAGGCCTGCGGGGCTGGATGCTATCGTAACTCGGGGGATTGTCGGCTTGTTCTGATGTGGACTGCGTGGCCCTTTTGGGGAAAAAAAGCAAATTGGGACGGGTCTGGTGGTCAGTGTACGGAGTACGAAGTAGATAGTCTAGGTATGTATTGCGGCTGATAAGAAAGACATCGTGGTTTGGGTATGGCTTGGAGTGATGTGAGGGGGTCGGGCCTATCACACTCTTGTATAGCGACACGGGGATTGGCCTCATTCAGCTCCCCCACAATATGCACGAGGTACGGACACGACAGGGGCCAGAGTGGCAGAGAGCGACATCTCTTACTCCGTAGATCGGAGTGAATTGAGCGGAAGGGGCTGGATGGCCTATGTCGATTGCAAATGCTAAAGGTATCAAGCGTTGTATATTCGAGAATCCAAATCGTACAGATAATTCTTAAAGATTCTCGCTTCTCAGCCAACAGCGCTCATCTCTTTCATAGTGCAGGAAGAACCCAGGTTGTCACAGACTGACTCGGGATATTGCCACTCCACTCTTGGCCACTATTAGTGGATAAAGTAATGTAAATATCATTACCGAATGTGTTCTCAACAACAACAGTGCGAGTTCCATCTGGATTCAGCGAAGCAACAGACTGCACACCTCCTCCATTGGAATATGTGTAGCTCCCGGTACCACCCAGCACAATCGCACCCGGCGGCATGAACTTGCTAAATTGAGCCATCATATAGTATGCCGGGTTGAAAGTATATCCGCCGTTGACGATAGTCACTAGACCTCGACAGTTTGCACAGCCGCCACTTGACAGATGAGGGCCATCTTGATCATTTGTACCTAGTGTCCAGGCCGTAACACCCGATGCCCAATTTTGTAAAGGCCCCATGGTAAAATCGGCGGCTTGGTTCCATGATGCGGATGCAGGGGTCCAGCATTCTGTCATGTATTGTTTGATCTTGGGGTTTGTCTCGTGGAATCGGGTGAGGACTGTCCAGTCTACATTGGTGGCATAACAGTGCCATGCGACTGAGTGGACATACTGACCAGCCCCGTTGATGACGTTCTGAGGATAGGATGGCATATCTGATATCTATCCGTTAGAAAATGGAATGATCCCTCTAAGATCCGGATTGTCGAGTGCATACCAGTGTTGTGATCATATGCCCAGATTTCGGTGTTCAGGCCGGCTTGAGCGAGAGCCGGACCGACATAGTTTTGGATCAGCTGTGCAGACTCGTAGTCAAACATGTACATTGTGGGATATCCAGCTTGGCTGTTCAAAGGCTCGTTTTGAAGGGTAATCGCATCGATGTGGGCGCCGACATTCTCGTAGGCCTGGATGTACTTGACGAAGTATTGCGCAAAAGCACTAGCATACCCAGTACTACCAGTGCCCCCCCTAGTCAGGTAGCCATCATTGAGGTTGTTGTCTTTCGTAGTGCCATCAATCACACCGTTTAGCTTCATCCACCCGGGGGGACTCCAAGGTGAACCAAGAATCTTCAAACTCAACTGAAGGGACTTCATCTTAGCCAGCATCGTAGCCATAGCATTTCCACGGTCGCCCAGGTCAAAACTAGACAGTGAGGGATCCGCACTATTCCCATTATCATCATAGGTATACGCCGGGTCACCAGAGAGGTCTGAAGCGCCAATAGTATGGCGCATCAAAGCAAATCCAGCACCAGTACCGGTCATCAGCTCATTGAGCAGTTGTTGCAGCGTCGTACTGGACAGCGTGTTGAAGGAGGTAACTGTGGCATCGGTGACAGCGGCTCCAAAGCCCACGATTGTTTGTTTGTGCCCGCTGGATGTATCATCGATTCTCAGCTTCCAGGTCGATTCGGAGCCTGGGCTACCACTGCCCTGGACTGGTGGAGAAATTGGCGAGAGCTTGTAATTGCCATCTGAGTCTGAGCAGTAGGCTGATGGAGTGGTTGCTCGCTTTCGTGGTGATGCCTCTCCTAGTACTGAAAGCAGGAGCAGAGGAAGAAGAAATGGAAGCATGCTGTATCCCTGTGTCCCAATATAAGTATTGAGAGTCTATTTCTGAGGGGTCCGGGGGAACTAAGGATTATCAATGGCGGGGATGCATTGTCTTTATATATCCAACCAAAGACAATCTTGTATAGGCTACCCAGCCATTTCCTTAAAAGATGAATGCAACTGATGTCGAGGGGAAATAAGCTGAGACGACTGAGACCTCCAATTTCGGCCATGAGCCGACGAAGAATACTACAGTACCACCGACTACTGCACGCCACATTTTCCCGACGGGAGCTTGATAGCTTGTATTTATTGTCTTGGTGTTTCGGCCGTCTCGGGGAAATGGCCCATTCGAGGATAGTCGCTTAGAATAATCTTCTCCGCGTTCTTGATGGTTTGTATAATGCATTATGCTAGTCCAATGAGTGAGGTGTGATATGGGCGCTCTAGTTGCTTGCTCGGGGCGGGGTTGCCGGAAACGGCGTGAAAGAAACAATAAGCTCGCGGTTATAGAAGCG